CGCATCATGGTAGCAACTGGTGAGGTCAATGACGCTTTTATACCGTTGACTGGACTCAAGAGTGTCAAGGCCATAGAATATGATCCCGTCAGCAAGTAAGTACTTTTGAATAAATATTTTGTAAAAGTAACTAAGCGACTTGCGGGTTTCTGTAATATTACCAGAATCTTACTATCTACCTAATATTGTAAATCCGAAAATTTAATGGATGTTTGTTACTACCTTATCTCCAAAAACTCAACGAATTTTCCTAATATTTGGCATAGCTAATAATAAAGTTTTTAAAATACGCGTGGACGGAATCGCGGGCGAGAACAACATCATATTTTTCTTCCATATCTGACAACTAACAATAAAAAAAGTCAATTAGTCTATTAACATGTGTATTGTTTGAATTTTTGTTTTAGGAATCTCTATTGGATGGATGACGACTCGCACGCGATACGCCGCGTGCCAATATCGTACTCAACGACGTCGGCCATCACCGACTCGCAGCCAGTGGTGACTGGACTGGCGCGGCCCGCGCACATGGTGCTGGACGTGCTCGGCCGCGCCCTCTACTGGACCTGCCTCGACGGCGACTCCATCAATGCCACCTCACTCCTCAATGCCACTCTGACAGGTGTCATACTGCGCGGAGAGAAGATGTTGCCGAGGCATTTAGCGTTTCATCAAACTAAAAGGTAAGGAATGTAAAATTTGTATGACGCCCTAGTATTTTTTCTCATCAAGGACCACGAGCGTTACATCTTTAACACTGATATACTTTATAATAATAATAATGTAAATGCTAAAATTTGGATGGATAGATGATACATGTGTTATTACCTATGGCTAAAACAGCTTAATAGATTTCGATGAAATTTAGCACAGACTAATACAGACTATGTAGAACATAGTCTGGGAGAACATAGAGGGTACTTAATTAGTTTTTAAGGTCCTGCGGACGAAGTCGCGAACAAAAGCTAGTACAAAATGTATATGTATGACTAGACTTTAATGATAGTTTATGTTTGAATTACAAAATGTTCTGTTTAAATTGCATTTAGGATTTTATTTTGGTGTTTGGTATAGTATGTGCGATGTCCAGGGTGTTGGTGTGGAACGACGTGGGCGTGGGCGCGATAATGCGCGCGCACGCGGACGGCACGGGCCGCACGCAGCTGGCGGGCGCGCCCAACGCCACCGCGCTCGCGCTCGACCAGCCCTCCGCCACCGTCTACTGGGCCCTCGCGCGACAGATACACGCCGTTAACCTCGACGGAAACAACAAGTCAGACTACTTACTAACATTTCTTCACTTTTAATCGATAAAATACTGTTTCTACAGGCTTGA